GGCTGGGTAACCAACAGACCTGGTATTTACTCACCACCTGATCGCAAATTGGCGTTACTGATGAGGAAATTGGGAGTCCCTATTAATGGCGGCTCATTGGAGGAAGACACGCAACTAAGCAAACTGCTGTCGAGGAAAATCCGACTGAGGGGATAGTTACTGAGTCCTATGCCCCAGCGATGCAGAATGCCCTAACGAGGTCATTGAGGTCGTATTGGCTGTTGTCCAAAGCGAGACCGAACTTATAGCACCCGTGCCCAGTAAAAGTAAGAGAAAGTGGGCCAAGGATGTCCGTAAGGCTCTCTCAAAGCCTGGAGGTACTGAACCCATAGAGCTACTGTAGATGAAGCACAAAACTCCAGCTCCAATCACCCTAGTTCCATTGACAAAGCAACGCCGTGTCGACACCGGCCGCATCGGAAAAGTCAAAATGACTAGACCGGTGACGGAGTTAGAGGTAGAACGCAAAGCCTCAACCTCAACTACTCCCTCTCCCTTGTCGAAGATACGCGCCATGTCACCTGCCAAACCGGTCGAATCTGGGGTCGAGTCGGAGACTCGTGGGGTGAATACAACTCGTGGAATTGTTTCTTTTACTAATAGCATGGTTATCTTCCGTAACATTGCTGAATCCGCGGCAGGTCTTCCCAAGGAAGGCAAGCTGGATGCCTTTCCGGGATTCAAACCATGCGTCAACAAGGTGCTAAACCATTGTTTTCCCGGTGTTATTATCAGAAAGCTAACCAGAGTGGGAACATCCCTGACAATACGCAAACTCCGCAACCCCGACTAGTTTGTGTAGCCCTCATAACCCCGGAGGGATGAAAAACCTTAATGCGCTTTGCATTCACACTCAACGGTAATAATGTCGGCGTTCAGCCGGACCTCTCACTGGCAGATAGACGGAAGTAGAAGGAAGCCATCAAATGCCTCAAGCGCAGGCGGGCGGCTGGTGAGGAAGGTTTTCCTCTTGTGGCTTTTAAGTCAGTCAGCAGAAGGCTAACTTCTGAGCCACAAGAACCACATCCAGTAGCATAGGATCGAGGGCTGGTAGTGCCGAGTTCCTTCGGGTATTACTTAGTAATGTGCGTAACCTAGGGAACAAGGTACACGTGGTGGGTCTACTTGTAGACAAATCTTGTTCAGACAAACTTGCTTGAACTCAAATGTGGTGGTCCCCGGATATCACATACAGTGAAATACGTTTGCCGGTCTACACACTGCTTAAACGTACTCGCTCCGTTGACCACCAAAGTAAGAGAGTCGCACTTTAGATGACTTGTAAACTTGATGTGTTGTGGACCTGTGTTTTTCAGTCGCTGGATCAAACTGTTGCAGCCCTGTCGACTATGGTGTGTTCTTCTTCTGCTCACTATACAGTTGTCGTGGTCTATCGAACTCATGGAAGCATCTCCAGTGAGGTTAGTGAATTTATTCGTACTCGGGCTGCAAATAGCTGTCTAATACTGGGACCATTCAACCTCTCTGAAGTCTGTTTGGCTGATCTAGCTCTCAGTTAGGCGGTTGTCACTTTCTGTTCGGATCACGTCTAGCTAACGTTGCAACTGCCGTTGTATCAATTCGTGGACCTCCCGACTAGATACCCGAGCAACCAGCTTCCGGATACCTTGGATCTCATTTTAGCGAAGGCACACGACTTCCTAAATGATGTTACATTGAGCTGTCCTCTAGGAGCCAGTCACCATGTCTACATATCCTTTCGGTGTACTCTAACGGAGTGTCCTCAAGCCAATGCTGAGGCATGTCCAAATATTATAAATTAATAAATCTTTTATTCTCAACAAGGTGAGGCACGCCTTTACAGGCGTGATCATTTTGACATAACGATGCATGATCAATAATGTGCAAAAATCTGATGTTTGCCATAGCAGTTTGTGTTTGTGAAGGGAGAATGTATGTATGTCATTGTGTGTGTATGTGTATGTAGCTGTTTATTTTGTGCTTGTAGTTGTGTTGCTCCAATTTTAAATGTTTGATATCGTCATCAATATGCGAGTAGGAGATTGGTGTCCTTGGGTTGGATAGAATTATCCGGATATTCATGGGGCAGTGACTTTAATTTGTGGATATTCACGACCGTCACGTCACAATGTTGTTAAGCAGATATTTGTGGCTTTTTATAGGGAGAACGCTTGCCAGGCGAAACCCACCACGTCCTGGAACACTGCCGCCGAACTATTTGCTAGAACAGGTTAAACCCGAACCACCCAGCTGACACCACGAGGAGGTTGTTTGGCTAGCCAGCAGGTTTTTATGCAATGCGAGACATAGCGTCAGTTCTGCGTTGCGCGAGCATGGTGGCTGACACCGTTGAGACAGCCTGGAAGAAATTTAAGGCATCCCTCACCGAGGTCTCTGCTCCCCACATTATACTCATTACGAGATGGGTGACACGGGCGCAGCCTCCTTGGATAGGTCATACAAGTAAGTATCTGCGCAGGAAGCACTCCAAGTGCTGGTGACGTTACCAAGCGGCTTCATCAAACAGAACCTACGAAAGCTATCGAGCGGTTAGAAATAAAGGTAAGTAACCTCTCAGGACTGCCCATCTTCAGTACGACGAGGATTTGACTGACGCAGCTGTAACGAAGCCAAAGGAGTTCTTTGTTTACGTAAAGAGACACAGCAGTACATACTCGTCTATTCCAGTTTTACTAAGAGCGGACGGGATCCGTGGGCATACTGTCTACGATATGGCTTGTATAGTTAGAGAACTGTATACTCGTGTCTTTTCTCGTTAGGCTTCTCTACCTGGGATTGGGCTGGTCACAAAATTCCCGGAGGAGTTTTGCATAACTGAAACCAGCATAACGGAGACAAGTCTTTGGGCTATTGCAAGGTTAAGCCCTTCTAAAGCTTTTGGCGCTGATTCCATTCATCCGAAGCTGCTGCATGAATTGGCCGCTCAACTAAGTGGTCCCCCGAAATGAATGTTTACAATATCGCTCGACAGCTGTGCCTTACCTCCGGTATGGAAGAAGGCAATCATCTGTCAGGCTTTTATGGGCAGTGTCAGAGATCTGTCGGCGAACTACTGGTCTATCAGCTTGAGCAGCGTAGTAGTTAAGTTGTTTGAAAAATTGGTCGGGGATTCGGTGGAAAAATCACCTTATTGACATTAACCATCTCAGTGCGGCACTGAACGGATTCCGTAAGGGATTTTCATGGCTGAAAAATTTACTTGCAACCCTTGAAACATGTGCTGAGGCAGCGGATAACAGTCAAGTTATGGACACTTTTCGGTAACTACTCGAAATCCTTTGATACTGTCCCACATCAACGATTCTCATTAAAGTTGCTATCGTATGGGATATCTGGAGGCACACTTATTTGGGTGTCTGATTTTCTAGAGGGGAGAGAACTCTGTGTACGGGTGGGACATAGCCTTTCGCTTCGACAAGCTGTTCTTAGTGGCGTTCCGCAGGGCACGTTTTTAGAGGTTGCTTTTCGCAATTTATGTTCATGAACTACCCTAAGGGTTTCAAATACCGTTGCTGTTATTTGCTGATGACCTCAAGCTCTAGAATCGCGCATATCCCTGGGGGCTCTGATGCAATTCAGAGTGCCTTCGATAGGCCCTAGGATTGGTCAGTCTAATGGTTGATGCCCAAAAATCAGACAAAAAGTTCTGTCCGCCACATTGACGGTGCTAGTTTTCCCACGCAGTATGTAGTGTGTCGAAGTGAACTCCCTGTTGCCACTCAGAAGATTGATCTAGGTATCGTCCATACCGCAATACTTCACTCGGGGCAATTGGAGGAGAGCTGCGTGGAGTGGCTTCCGTAGGATGTAGATTATTCACCATTCCTTCAATATCCCAACGGCCAACATCTTTGTGAAGCTGTTCTCAGACATTGTGCGACCCCACTTAGAAAACTGTCTCCAAGCTTATCCACCTTGTCTTATAAGGAACACAATGGAGCTAGAGAGGGTTTTTCTAGTGGGTACAAGGTTAGGGCAGGGATTTAAGGGGCAAACGCATCCCGAACGTTTTCTTAGCTTGGGTATGTACTCAACGCACTGCCGCAGAATTAGAGGAGGCTTGATCCTCACTTACCGAATCCTAACGAGTAAGCTCGGTCTGGACTTGACCTGGCTGTTTAGCCTCGCCAAACTGACTAGTCTCCGAAATCACCCGTTGAAGCTACGCAAACTGCGTTCTGACATGGTAAGGACGGAAGCTCACTTGTCGCGCCGGGTTATTGAACGCTGACACACACTTCCGGAGCACGTCATAAGGCAGTCTACGGTTGAGGGTTGCGAGCGTCAGTCAGATGCGCTTGGGTGGCAGTAGCGAAACTTCCCCTTCTCCTAACCGACTTGCATCTTCAACTTCACCTTCGTTTTTTAAATTTTTCTCACACCTCGTTATTAACATTACTTAGCTGACATTCCATCACTTGTATTCTTGGCTTATTCTTCACTATTTTACTTTACCTAAACCGGCCTGGCAGGGCTGCTTAGCAGGAAATGGGGGACAATATTTGGTTGGATGGGGTGTCATGCAATATTTGATAAGGCTATTTAACATAGCAAAGAGACCTATCAATTCCAGAGCCAACGATACGCAGCAATAGGAACATTCGAGAGATTGTCATGTCGTTCCCGTCCCAAACTGAACTTGAACTTGCAATGGACCAACGGAAACTAGAAACACGATTTGAATCTAATGTTTAAAACACTAAAAGCGTGAATGATTCAGCTTCAATAAAAACCTAAACTAGAATCGCTCCGGAAAGCGAATGCCCGTTGTACACCATCAGGATACGAACCGATTTGCCGGAGCCCACCCCGGATCAACAGGTCATTCACAATGATAGCGCCCGACTTATACTACAAGTGATGACAGAGCAGAAATCCTAGGTAGTAACTGGATGACAAAGACGTTTTTCTGTGTTTTTCTTTAAGGTACACCAAAGATTGTGGATACAACACCTTTTCGATGTAGGAATATTCGACCGTTCAAACCTCCTCCAAACATTTGAACTGCGATTAGCTTGCGCGTTAAATCCCTAAATGGCGTTCGCTCCTGTAAATGGCCTCAGGGGTTCTTCGTTTTCTCATTCGGGAAATAAATTCATTACTGTTTCTAAAAACATATCTCTAAAAGCAATAACATGTAGGTTAGATATATCGGTTGTATCTTGTTTTTAGCGGATAGCACACACCGGCCGCTTCTTGCGTTCGACAGTGCATGGCCGAAATTGAAAGGGGCTGCGATGGCCGTCTTTCAAAGCCAACCAGTTGAATTCACACTTGAGGAGTTATACAGAGTACGTTGGACCTTTACACATTGTTTTCTAGAATGTTGAAGACCTCTGTTCCCAAGGAATGCTCTCTGAGCTTTATTCAACTTTGAGATGTCTTCTCAAGGAATACGTCAACGGCTTACTGACCTTTTTTCTGGAATATCCTTTTCATTTGACTTTATTTCCTCCCTAGCTATATGGATACTTTCCCCTGCCTGCTTATCTACCAATTAATCTATACCTGCGTAAGTTGAATGACTAGAACAGTTTACCTGAACTAGTCGTCAGTGCGCAAACAGCGTAATGTTTCAGACGATTGTTAGACATCTATTTGCTGGACAAGCGTGGGTCTTGCTGTTTTGACTGTGACCGCAATGCTCCCTTGTGGAACATTGTGCCGCATCAACTCACATGAACTCTACAGTGAGAAGGAAGTGGTGGGACTGACGAAGTACTTGCTTTCTGTTCTCTATAAACCAATGAACAGGAGTCACTGTAGTGAATCCTGTCCGCTGGAGTGATCCTTGGGGCGTCTCATTGAACCTACAACTTCTGCGGCGTTAGCTTTTCGGTCCAAAAGCGTGTTTATAAGGCCACAGTTATGGCCTTTTTGGTCTTTAAAATTTAGAGTTGACACCGGTCTAAAATTCTGAGGTGTGTTCACATCCCTGATCATTGGAACATTGTATTTAATGGGAATAAAAGCTCGAGCTTTACATGACCCATAGGGTAAAAAGAGTACGGGTCGGGTCTAATGAAAGGCCAAGCAACCTTATAGCGGGTTGGACTCGCGTGTTAGCCGTATCTTCATCGGGCTTATGTGGCATTTAAACAGAATGCACGCCGGCTCAAAGCGAGACATCCCACCACGCCCTCCGAAACGGCTTTGGAAAGGAAGTAGGTGGAAGAAAAAAAAGAAAGAAATTCCATCCAGTAGAATGCAGTTAAATTAGGGAATATCGCGGTGTAGCTCAGCCAGATGACAGTCCAAGCGGGTCTTAAAGTCCGCCACAGTGGGTGCCAAGACTAAATCGGCAGGCAGAGCATTCCACGGTCGGCAGATTCGCAAAGCGAAGTAGTGTCGTCTGCAGTTCAGCCGACTGTGCTGATGTGTGAGCCTCAGTGGGTGGCCACGTAGGTGGGAGCCCGATTGGTGCAGTGCTTACGGAGTAATGCAAGAGTGGGATGTCACCAGTTTGTCCGCAGCGATGTGCATAAGCGAGTTTATAGGCAGTAAGAATCAGGCTAGTGCTTTAGAGTATCAGATACTACGAAGTAAGTTGCGTTGGTTTGGGCACGTCGCAACGAGACTGGAACATAACGTGGTGCGACGGTTTGCGTACCTCTTTGACCCCTTAAGCTATACTGGATAGTGCCTCTTGGCCCCTTCAGAGCTACTCCTACCAGGTTGGTCAATGGTTAGAGGGCCGACAATCTCAGTCTCCTGGTCCTCCAGGTTGGGAGTTTGAAATGAGATGGCGTTCATTTCTGTAGAACTAAACCATTGCCACTCCGCTGTCATGCGGACAGGCTTTTGAGCCAAAGGCTTTGGTTGAGGACCCTAATCGTTCTCCTCTCTAGATCTGGGCGCCCTGGCAGTATTTCAGCCCATAAACAACCATGATAATTTCCCCAAACTCTACATTCTGCATCGGTCGTCGCGCAGATTATCAAGGGTCGCGTTATCTGCTGCATGCAACAGAGCAAATAAGCGTAAATATGCTACTTCTGGCGCCTCCCTTTTTTCCTTTCCACCTCTGTCTTACTCCCCTCCAAACCCCATTTCTAGCCTTCTATTATTCCCAGCTTAATTCACCGCAACCGAAGTGCCACTGGAGTAGAACCACCTGCAGTCACCTTTCCGCAACACCCACCGGATGCTTAACAGCAACAGTCCCTTATAAGGCCACGCTGTCTCATTTCTCTAACAGCGTTCAACGTTCGCACTCAACAGGCTGCACTCGCACGCACCTTTGGCATGCTAGGTACTGATATGTGTTATGCGTCGGAAACTAGGATCAATAGCCCTCATCGGTTGTCGAATTAACTGCCCCCGTCTTGTCCTCGCTGTTGGTTTCGCCCATCCAGAGACGCTGATGCAGCACTCACCGGTCAAGCTGGGATAAAGATCATTTTAAGCTCCAAGGCTGAGTCATCGTTGGTTGATAGAATTCTGATGAACAGCCGTTTATGTGCAGCCCTTTTGAGGACATCAACTAAGGTTGATCCACGAAGTAGTACAAAACGCTGTTTGTGATTTCCGCTTATGCTCCCACCGACTGCAGTTCTGATGCTGCCAAGAACACATTCTATCACAAACTGAATGCACTGCTACGCAGTACTACCAGTTCAGACGTCATAATACTTACAGGGGACATGAACGCACAAGTAGGGCGTCTGACCTATTCGGAAGCACAGCTAGGTGGTAATTCTGGGCTTAACTCAGAACGGACTGACAACGGTGAGCGTCTGCTGCAACTATGTGCGGTGCACCAGTTGTTTCTTAGTAGCACTGCTTTTAGACACAGTGGGCGCTGAAGTGCCACTTGGCGTCCTCCTGTAGTTGGCCAGCGACGGACCCAAACACTTAGCCATAAGTTGCAGGTGATGTGGTTCGGTCGTGGATTACCAATCGTTCTGGAATACCTGCGTCGACTCTGATCATGCCTTGGTACACTGTCGTTTCTCCATGAACTTTATTGGTAGGCGCACCAAGCGTCTCCCCCGATTGCCAACCGTGAAACTGCCTCAACTTTCGGTCAGGCAATGCCTACTAGTATGCTTTGCGTACCGGACTTTCGCTCTCTTGTCCTTATGACACTGAGCTTCAATGGAATAGGATCTCGGCCGCCATGCATGACGCAGGAACATCTGCTTGTAGCACAAACAGTCATCACCGCATCAGTCAGTGGATATCCGAGAGGTCGGTAAACCTGTTGTTAACACAAGGTGTAGGCGCCTTGACTCTGAATGTTTGCTTCGGACATTAAGGTTTTCAGGTAAGTCCCTCTTATTATTCTTCATCCCATAGGTCATCATGGTTGTATGGCAGTGAAGCATCAGTTCAAATGACTGCTGTTATTTTGGGGCACTGCTACGCATTGCCGGTAACTGCTTGCAGAAAGAAGCTCTGTTTGCCGAATGGAGAGTGGGACAAAACCATAGGTGGACAAGCGTTGACTTGGTAGCGATAAATGGAGTCACTGATGCCTATATCGGATGCTGTTTGTCAGTCCCGCTTTGCAGACTTGAGTCCGCGCGATTCGCATTCGCCATCAGTGGCGCGTTTGATATCGTCTTTTAGTCAGGCTGCGCGTTTAAAGTGTCTTATACGTAGTTAAACGCGGAGTTCGCCCCATTTCAGTTGATTCTCAGATTCGTCCCATGTTGTTGCGTACTCACTTGTCCCAACCACTTTGGCAAGTGTTCAGCTACCCTCTGAGCTAACTAAAGGTTTGTTCTGCCTATGTAAATGTCACCGCAACCGCAGGTGGACTGATAAACAACATGAGAGGCCTAACTACCTGACGAGATGCTCTGACGGTTATGAAGAACAAGTGGGCCCAGTTGCGACTCAGGCATACCACGCGAGCACTTGTTCTTCATAACCGTCAGAGCATCTCGTCAGGTAGTTCGGCCTCTCACGTTGTTTATCAGTTCACCTGCGGTTGCGGTGACATTTACATAGGCAGAACAAACCGTCAGTTAGCTCAGAGGGTAGCTGAACACTTGCCAAAGTTGTTGGGACAATTGATTACGCAACAACATGGGACGAATCTGAGAATCAATCGAAGCCCGGCACCTCATTTCAGTTGACCAACTATGACCCCGTTACCTAAGTGTAGTTGCTCCATTTGCCACGACTCACGTCGCCAGAATATAAATAACCGCAAGCAACTGAGTTTGAATGCAAATAGTATGTAAAGAAAATACAATCAGGACAGCAAAATGCGAAACAAATCAGTACGGAATGCTGACAGCTGGGTGGAAGAAACTGGATGCAGAAACGCTGCCGACTGCGTGCGGACCATACCGGATCCCCCATGCACAGAACTGGCATGCACCAGCCTGATCAAGTTTCTCGGTCAATTTCTTTATACCACGTCTTCGACTGGGCACTTCGCGGCTTCCTCCCACTTGGTGCAGCGACGGGGTATAGTGCACGCCGAGGTAGGCGGTCAACGGTCATACGCAGAACATGACCTATAACCGGCTGAGGTTCAAAGAACACCCAAGTGAGGCACCAAAAGGCTTCTTGTTGAAAATAAACTGACGGACCTCGGTATCGCTCACGCGTTGTTCTATCAGATGTTAGCAATATACCGTTAGCACCAGAGCTCAAACATGATCAAGCGTTTAATGTCTCCATTGCGATTTAACCAGGCCTCTGATCCGTACAGTGACACCGGTCTTATCGTAGTGTTATACGAACAGGCTGGTATCCAGTAGTCTTCATGGATGCTTGATTCCTTGGAAACCCATACGGGTCTTGATTTTACGCAAAGAAACTTCAGCGATTCGACCACCAAAGGTGGCGCATTTAACAAACTAAATGAGCCGATCCGCCACTTCCAGGGGCTTTTCGCTGATAGCTAGAACCGATGGCGTATCAGCCAGTCCTGCAACGGCACATGCCGATACATGCAGGGCTACGCGTCTGTGCAGTAGTGTTTACATAACCACTGCGTCAGAGCCAAAGCGTGCTGTCTTTCGCATACTCAATGTTTGTCTTCGTTCATAGGCAGCCGCGAAAACCGAGCCATTTAGGGTTATTATTTCACCGCAAAGTTGAAAGGAACATGAGATATAAGCCAGCCCTGGCGTGCCCCATTTGTCGTGGGGAAATCAGAAGACATATCGTAGACATTCACACGGCCTCGGGAGTCTCGGTCGAGAAATTACAGATTGGAAATCCGTTTGACTAGCACACCCTTCACGGATAGACAGTACCACAAGCTGGCGCGATCGACAGAGTCGAAAGCGGCTTTCAAGTCAAGCAAAACCATTATTGTCGGTCGTCTGTGTCTCTGCTCTAGCACTTGACGAAGAGTAACTATGTGATCGTTGCGGCCAAGAGCAGAGCGAAAGCCAGTCTTAATCTCATGAAAGACCAGTAAGCTGTCGCAAAATGATACCCGTGAGTATTTCGGGTGTAATAG